CCAGGCTCGGGCCGGGCCGGACCAGACCAGTGTGTGCTGAGTCACCGCGGGCCCTGGGCGCCCGCGCTTCCGCAGGTGTCGCTTAAGTATCTGGAGAAGAAACTGACCGCCGGTGGTCACGGGTGTCCCAGTTTCATTTGGAACGGGGGGCACCAATGCCCTGCTGTTAGGGGTGTTGTCTGTTTTCGCGGCCCGTGAGAAGTAGTAGACCAGCATCTTGGGTTACCTTTTCTTTGCTTTGTAAAGTCGGCTATGCCTCTTCATCCCTGTGGGGTGAGCTTGGATAAGCCCCTTACGCATCTTTGTTCCCCCCACCCCTTTGTATAAAACTCCATCTCTCAGGGTTATTGTGAATACTTTAAGACAACCAGGCAGAGAGTGCCTAGGCGATCAGTGTTTTGTTTTTTCCTATTACATCCCACTTGCAGGCATCTGTCTTTCTCTCCATTTTGCTTATTTCCCTGTAAGTTTGCGAGGTGTTAAATACCGCCATTTGCAGTTCACCTTGACATTTTTCAGGGCTTTCCCACACCAACTTCTATCTTAAAAAAAAAGATAACCCTGTGGAATTTTCGCTAGGCAGTGTCACTGTGCTGCCCTGGTTCTCCACTGAGTATTCCAGTTACAGTAGGTAGTTCCTCTAGATAGGACCTTCTGATAAGTCTTCTGGATTCTTCTGTGCTGGCTGCAGCTTTCCTTTTCAAGGATTATATATGGTGTTTGAGCTTTTGCATCTAAACTTTATACTTAATCAGTATCTACTTTGCTGTTTTTCTAGACTTAAGATTGCATCTAACCTATTTTTCCATCTTTGATATCATAGCTCATTTTATTTCATAAATGGATATATGCATATAAAGAATGTGTATCTCTATAAACTCTTGTGTTTTTCCTTGGAAGCCAGAGTGTTTTTTAATAGTATGGGGAGTATGGTGTGTTACTTAAGCCAATTCTTTCAGGACAGGGACACACTATATTGCCTGACTGGTCTTGGACTACCAATCCTCCTGCCTCATTCTCCCACTTCACTAGGATTACATATGTGAGCCCCCAAGCTGGCTCAGCCAATTTTATGTTACCTTAGGGTATTTAAATGACCTTGACATCTCATTTCAGTAGAAAATATCTATTATATTGATAATGGAATGGCATTGGACCTCCCAAGATGATACAGGAATGATATTAGACCTCTAAATGATATAGGGAAATACTATAATTCCCAACCTGCTAGATCTCAGATATGCCAAATTCAAGTTCCCCCAAATCAAAGAATGAATTCTAGGGAACAACAGGTTAAAAGTAGGAAATATTTATTGAAAGAAATAGCTCTTGAGTGTCAGAAGGGGTCCCAAATGGGTTGCCAGGGACCCCACTTTTCAGAGGAAGTTTTATAAAGCACAGCCACATGGGTACAAGGTAGGTTAAAGCTATGATCAGCTAATAAGGTTACAGGTATAGTAGCTTAGGTAATAGTGTTCCAGTAGGGAAGCAAGTCACATGCCAAGTTTACATGGAAAGAACAAAGAACTTTTCAGGAAGGTGATGGATCCAAAGGTCTTGGTCTCTACCAAGGTAACTGCTGTCTATCTAAATAGACTTCATTAGACCAGGTATTACCGTTTATCTTACATCTTGGGGAAGCATGAAAGCCTGGGCTCCAACTGTTGGTGCCTCTGGCCACAGTTGTAATGTGTTTTCATCTCTTGTACTGACTGACTCAAGGGCTCATCCCTATCTGACTTCCTATATTATTTCTACCTAATTTAACTGTCTTTAATATGTCTGGTGAAACTTCTTACAAATACGTGAGAAATAGTAGTTTGCATTGGTTGCATCATCAAGAGATGATGAGAGAACTGGTGTGAATACAGAGCATAAAAACATGAAAAATTGAAGACCAGTTTTTTTTTTAATTAAAGAGGGAAATATGGGTTTTTATTGTATTTAAATCAATCTGTGAAAGCCAATATGACACATTTTTTAGTCCTATTTCTCCCCTCACCTCAGTAGCAGCTTTTGCCTACCCCTGTGTATTTCTCCTTGTTGTCTTCCCTTCCATTAGTATTAGCTATCAGTGATTTAAACTTTTAATGGATGCCAGTGGTTTGAAAGTTGCAGAACTCATTTGTAAAAAATTTTTAATTTTAATTGTGAAATGAAGGACTTTGTTAAAGATACTTCACACATGGGAAGAAGCCGGTAGCTTTTGTCATTTCATCTACATACTTTGAAAGGAACTTTATGTATCCCAGCCCTGATATAAAATAAGATCTGTTGTATAAGGTCCTCTGCTCTCATTCTTAGATCTTTAGTGTTGTCTTCCGACATTTCTTCTTAAATTGCCCTTTTCAGTTACCCTCTCCTTTACTGTACTTAGTTGCCTCTTGCTTTTCAGCATTTTGAAATCTTAACAGTCTGCTGCTAGCTGTATACTTTTTTTTTCTCATTGAGTTTATTGGTACATTTTAGGTATACAGTACAGTTACATTCATCATTGGGATCTTGTACCTTTACATGACAGACCTTGGTTCTCATATTTTCCCCTTACCCCTGCCCTCCCTTCACCCCCTCCTCCCCTTCCCTGTTTACAAATACTTTATTTCCATTTTTTCATTTTCTCATATTTTTTTCTTTTCCCTTATTTCCTTTCCCCTACCCTTCCCACTTCCCCTACACCTTCAGCCCTTTTCTTCCTATTTCACATTATCAATTATACCATTAGGATCAATGGTACAACGATCGTTTTTCACACCAGGGAAATTATTCGGTATTTACATGTGTGACTTATTTATTTCACTTAAGAGTATATCCTCAATATGCATCCATTTTCCTATGAATGACTCTAATTTCTCATTCTTTATGCCTGAGTAGTATTCCATTTTATAGACAAACCACATCTTTATCCACTCTCCAACTGATGGGCAAATGGGCTGTTTCCAAGTTTTAGCTTTTACAGACTGTGCCACTATAAACGTGGGTGCACATATAACTGTTGTGTGATTCTTTTAATTCTTTTGGAAAGATACCCAGCAGAGGAATGGCTGCGTCAAATGGAAACTCTAATCCTAGTTCTTTGAGGTATCTCCATATTGATTTCATAGTGGTTTCACCAGTCTGCATTCCCACCAACAATGGAGAAGGGTTCCTTTCTCCCCACGATTTCTGCCAACATTTGTTGTTGGTTGATTTCCTGATAGCAGCCATTCTTTGTGGGGTGAGTGTTGTTTTCATCTGCATCTCTCAAATGACCAGTGATGTGGAACATTTTTTCATATATTTACTTGATGCTTTTACTTGTTTGTCTGAGAAATTTCTGTTCATTTCAGATGCCCATTTTTGAATCGGATCTTCATATTTGGGGGAGCTGATTGTTTTGCGTTCTTTATATATTCTAGGTGATAGTCCTGTGCCTGAGGAGCAGCTGGTAAAAATTTTTTCCCACATTGTAGGTTGTCTCTTAGTTCTGTTGATGGTTTCTTTTTAGCTGCATACTTTTAAAATTTCTTTTAGTCTAGAAATTTCCTTATGATTTAATTAATCTAGTTTTAGTAATATAATTCCTCTATTAAAGAGAAAGAGACCATCTGGGCAGATTTTGTGTGAGGAAGGAGGTGGTTTATTCACCTGTGTATGTGTATGAGTAGGTTGAGTTTGGAGAAGGGAACACAGCAGGGAGTGAGCAGAGAACAAGTAATTTAAAGGGAAGGGGAGGCAGTACTGTCTTGAGAAATTTGGGAAGATAGAGTGTGATCATTCTTCCCAGGTCAGGCTATGGTTTCAGATGTTGTCACGCTTCCTGTGTAAGACCAAGGCCTTACTACCACTCCGAAGAGCTCAATACCACTCCGAAGAGCTCAAAATTACCGCTCCGAAGAGATGGACAGCCACAAGATTCACCCAGGAAGGAACACACCGAACACGTTGGAAATGAAACAGACTGGCCGGAGGGCACTCCCAGAGCCGAGTAGCTCAGAAAGGTGCTAGCTCAGGGGCTGAGGTCCTTTTTATAAGAGGGATAAGGGTGATTTAACATTCAAAGCCTGGAGGCAGGGGACAAAGGCTACTGGTCTGCTGGTGGTCAGCAGCCACGTGCTCAGCAATCACACGCTGATGATTAAAAGATGCTTACAGGGGTCTCTAAGGCATTTCAGACAAGCAAACAAGCAGTAAAACAATTAATTTTGGGTCTCTGTATATGGCACAGATTTTATCTCATTTTCCAGAACTCTTAAGCATTTGCCCATTAACTCACATTATTCACAGTTGGGGCAGGAATTTAAAATCACAAAGTTGAGCAGTAAAGATTACCCCAAGTTATGCAGTTTTAACATTCTTAAGCAAAGGTAGGGTGCAA